TCACTTACAGTCTGTGTGTATGATTTGCAAACAGGAGCCAGAGCAGCCACGGAGGGGACTGGAAATACCTTGGAGTCATTCTCAACACCTTCAGAATAAGGATTAGGAACCTCCAGTGCTCCATCACAAAGCAGGGATGAAAAAGGTGAGATCTTCCATAAATATCAACAGGCTTAATGTGAAGGGTTCAGATTTACTGGGCTCAAGCACAAAAAAAAATATAAGGAGGGGGCAAAAAAAAAAAGAAAAATGGCAGATTTTAGCTCTGATGTCATGACCCAAACCCAGGAAGCACAGCCTTTTAAATATTTATCCACATCCTCATGGCAAAATCCTCCCCAACTGAATGATGACCTCTCTATGTCTTTTTTATGAACCACACGATGAAGTTGAACAGCTAATTATAACGCCACCACAGAGATATACGGCCAGGATCAAATATTAGAGGAGACCCCTCCTTTAGCATCAGGTCAATCAAAGCTGAGATAAAACTCATCTATTCTCTGGGCCAAGTCCAAGAATTAATTCTGATACTAATAGTGTGTGAGGGCCAGCGTTAGGCATTGGCTGCAGGGCTATAATTTAAATAAACAAATATATATGTAGAGCTTCGGCGTGTGGTTGGCTGGAGGGGTGGCTGAGGACCAGAGGACACCCCCTCCCTGGCATTTCCACCTGAGGAGATAGAAAACTCATGGGGCTGGAAGGGGGAGAACCTGCAAACCAGCAATGATTGGGATTTTGGGGGAAATCTCCCCTGAACTTCAGATTCTTGCTTTTTTAAAGTCTTTGCTGGAAAGTTCTGGCTCAATCTTTGCAGTTCTCTGCTGGTTTTCTCCCCTTCCAAATTCCAGAAGATTGTTCAATGAGTCGTGTATTGTCTGGAGGGATGAGACACCTGATAGACATGCTTTTAAAAACCAGGACAGCAAAGCAAAGGGTTGTTTAATTGGTTTAAGTGGTGACGAGTCCGTTACTTACTGCCCTATTACTTTATTACACGCGACATGTCGAAAATGCCTTAGGTCTAAGGAAAATGTAATGAAAAATTAATTAATTCTATCTATCAGGTTAAGGAAACAGATACTCCAACTTGGGAATTTGCTAAGAGCCTTTTAAACCTGAGATGTCCCCGAGTGGGGTATAATTAGCAGATGTGGTCCATAAGACTGGGGTCTCTTTGCTCTGCCAGCGGGGACGAGGGACGAGTGACTGCAGGGACACCTCAGTCCTCTTCTCTAGGAGGTTTTCTTCAAATAGACAAATAAATCATGGGTTTTGTAAAGTCACAAAAATCTCCAAAATATCCCTTTGGTGGGCATCTGACTGTGGCTGAAATATCATGCTCATGGATAGTATGAAATACTCAGAAGAAAAAAAAAAAAAAAAAAAGAAAAAAAATACCTCTCCTGTCCATTTGTGCAATTTATGTCAGATCTATAATGCAATAAGCTCAACATCAAACATTTTCTATTTAACCTGAAAGGGGACTAAGTCAAATCACTTACAGTCTGTGTGTATGATTTGCAAACAGGAGCCAGAGCAGCCACGGAGGGGACTGGAAATACCTTGGAGTCATTCTCAACACCTTCAGAATAAGGATTAGGAACCTCCAGTGCTCCATCACAAAGCAGGGATGAAAAAGGTGAGATCTTCCATAAATATCAACAGGCTTAATGTGAAGGGTTCAGATTTACTGGGCTCAAGCACAAAAAAAAATATAAGGAGGGGGCAAAAAAAAAAAGAAAAATGGCAGATTTTAGCTCTGATGTCATGACCCAAACCCAGGAAGCACAGCCTTTTAAATATTTATCCACATCCTCATGGCAAAATCCTCCCCAACTGAATGATGACCTCTCTATGTCTTTTTTATGAACCACACGATGAAGTTGAACAGCTAATTATAACGCCACCACAGAGATATACGGCCAGGATCAAATATTAGAGGAGACCCCTCCTTTAGCATCAGGTCAATCAAAGCTGAGATAAAACTCATCTATTCTCTGGGCCAAGTCCAAGAATTAATTCTGATACTAATAGTGTGTGAGGGCCAGCGTTAGGCATTGGCTGCAGGGCTATAATTTAAATAAACAAATATATATGTAGAGCTTCGGCGTGTGGTTGGCTGGAGGGGTGGCTGAGGACCAGAGGACACCCCCTCCCTGGCATTTCCACCTGAGGAGATAGAAAACTCATGGGGCTGGAAGGGGGAGAACCTGCAAACCAGCAATGATTGGGATTTTGGGGGAAATCTCCCCTGAACTTCAGATTCTTGCTTTTTTAAAGTCTTTGCTGGAAAGTTCTGGCTCAATCTTTGCAGTTCTCTGCTGGTTTTCTCCCCTTCCAAATTCCAGAAGATTGTTCAATGAGTCGTGTATTGTCTGGAGGGATGAGACACCTGATAGACATGCTTTTAAAAACCAGGACAGCAAAGCAAAGGGTTGTTTAATTGGTTTAAGTGGTGACGAGTCCGTTACTTACTGCCCTATTACTTTATTACACGCGACATGTCGAAAATGCCTTAGGTCTAAGGAAAATGTAATGAAAAATTAATTAATTCTATCTATCAGGTTAAGGAAACAGATACTCCAACTTGGGAATTTGCTAAGAGCCTTTTAAACCTGAGATGTCCCCGAGTGGGGTATAATTAGCAGATGTGGTCCATAAGACTGGGGTCTCTTTGCTCTGCCAGCGGGGACGAGGGACGAGTGACTGCAGGGACACCTCAGTCCTCTTCTCTAGGAGGTTTTCTTCAAATAGACAAATAAATCATGGGTTTTGTAAAGTCACAAAAATCTCCAAAATATCCCTTTGGTGGGCATCTGACTGTGGCTGAAATATCATGCTCATGGATAGTATGAAATACTCAGAATTTCTAGTGAAATGAAGCATCCTTTCTTGTTATCTTTTTTTCAATGCTTTCCCTCTCCCCCTTTTAAGTGAAAACAAGAAAAATTTGGGTTCCAGGAGTGGGTACTGAAAGAGCAGCCCAGTTTATGTACACGACCAGGATGTGCCCAGTTAACATTTAGAGAGGAAACCTTTCTACAAGAACTTGGTAAAGGAGACACCATCCGTCTGGCTAATGACTCCGAGGACAAGTACATTGAGAAAAGCCAGAGAAACAACACAGGGAGAGAAACAAATAGCCCCCAAGAGCAGGAAATAGCCAGAGGGGGATCAGAAATGAAGTTATACACAATTCTATCACGTAAAAAAATGTGGTTTCAGTAGATCAGTGAACACAACAGTTTGGGTGCCATACATAACCCAACAACTTGCTTTCATCTCTGTGACCAGAGTCCAGAAAAACAGGGGTTTTTTATATCGTTTTCCCATTTGCTTTATTTATTTCCAGTGCTTTATGGCAGATTAGCACCATAAACTTTCAATTCCTAGCTTTGCCTAAAAAAAAAAGCCCCACACACCGCTTGTAGGCAACGTTCCATCTGCCTACATAAGATTATTTACCCAAAAAAAAGGGCAATTTTAATTTTTCAGGCTGACGGGAAGATGAGTACCACGCCTCAGCTTCCTCCCTCTTTACCTCAACCCCCAATTAGCATGGTTAAAATGGAAACTTTGATTGACTTAGGGGAATAAATAATCCTTTGGAGGGAAGCAGGGTTGAGTTACTCACTAACCAAAGTGAGAGGAGGAGAATTGCATCCCCACAAAGCCAACCCCGGCGCTACATAAAGATGAATGGACTCTGTTATATATAAAAAATAATTCAGCTGCTCTATTTGGCCAAAGCATTTCTCCAACAAATAAGGATTTATCTACTTGTGTCTGCTGTCAGAAAGTGGATTACTTGCTGATGGATGGCAGGTGCTTCCAGTAAAAAAATAGCAGAGCTGTTTTGGTAGCAAACCCCGACCGAACGTACGCCGTCCGGAGAGAAAGCGATGCTGGGGGAGCAGCACTGGAAAAGAAAAGAGCTGAAATCTCTGAAATTGTCTGAGCCAAACTGGAGATTATCCGAGCTCAAGGAGCAGGGCAAACAGTTCCAACCAGTCTGCAAACTCTTGGGTTTTAATCCTTAATAGCTCCGGCGGTGAGGCTTACCGAGGCAAAGAGCATTATTACATATAAATTATACCAGTTCATGTGAACAGCCAGTTTAACACCAGCCCAACTTGGCCAACGAGCGTTTCCCTACATTTAATCCAACCTTGAAACCAGCCCACGGCTTCATTCAACACCGACCCCACTCTACAGCCTTTTTTAATTGTGGTTTTTTTTTTTTTAAATAGTGATTTTCTCATTGTTCCTTGCGCTCTGGCTATTTAATTTTGAAGCAGGTTGCCCACTGGAGTGGACTGGGGGGTCATTTTTTTCCAGCCTATGCAAACAAGTCCTTTTATTAGGGACAAGGTGAGCCTGGAAACAAGTGTCAAGCATTTGGCACCGGGTTCAAGATGCCCCGGGGCAGCACTGGGGGAGACTGGAAACATTAATTTGGCGTCTCGTTTCATTCGTCGTCGTCACTTAACTCTTCATTTTCAAGTGACTGCCTTGTCCTGATTTTTAATTCAGGATTGTCAGAATGAGCTTATTAGATTATTAGCATAACATTCACAGAATCACAGAATCTTCTAGGTTGGAAGGGACCTTAAAGATCATCTTGTCCAACCGTCAACCTGACTGACAAAAATAGACACCCACACAACAAACAAGGAGCATCATCACTAACCCATACCTCCCAGCACTACATCAACCCGTCTTTTGAACACCTCCAGGGATGGGGCCTCAACCACCTCCCTGGGCAGCCCATTCCAATGGCTGAGAACCCTTTCAGTGAAAAAATTGTTCCTAATATCCAGCCTGAACCTACCCTTTCAATATAATTGTATATATTCATTTGCCATTCTGTTAGAGCTTATAGATATTAAAGGTAAGGGATGCTCTTGTGCTATTTTCTCACGAATGGAAAGGCAGTGATTTAAATGAGTGGTACAGGAGGATTTTAGGATTTTTTCCCCCCCCTTGGCTCTTACCTGTTTGGGACAGAAGTGGCGTGTAAGGGACTTTGGGTTCTATTGCACTCATGGGGGGAGGTAGCAGGGGGTTGGCGAAGCTGCGGAGCGGGTGCGTGGGGCGGACGCAGGCGGTGGGGATGGTTCTGCTGGGGGCGTCCTCGGTGGTGGAGTGCTCAGGTTGGGGCTGGGGGAGCATGGAAGGCTGCTGAGGTGCTGCTCCTTCATTTACCGCTGCAAGAAAATAAGCCAAAAAAAAAAACCCCAACAACTATTATTGATGTATTTTTTTATATCCCATTTCCTACTTTTACGGCCGTTCTCGGCAGAAGGGACAGCAATAGACTCCATCCCCCCCCCCC